AAGTGATTTCATATCTAAAATAATTAACTATTGAACCCAGAAGATTGAAAAAACTCTTCTTTTAACTTGAAGAATCCTTTCCTGAACAAGTAATCCAAGCAATCTTCACCTTATTTCAATCTCCATCCATGAGATTCAATGTAGCTATTAGTGGTTCATATTAGTGGGAAATATGAAAAATAGATATTCTGTTTCCAAAAAATATATAATCAGGAAGGGTGGTTACAAAAGAAAAAAGAGAAAAAAGAACAAAAATAATTTAACATCATGTAAAAGAAACTGATGTAAAATTCTAAAGAATTTAGCATCATATAAAAAAGTGACACAAAATTCTACAATTTTACTTTACGTTACCTTCTGTTTTTTCTTAAAAAATGTATATATTTATTAGTGTAATTAATAAAATATACTTTTACACCATTTTTTTAATTGATGTTAATTTTGGATCATTTTAAAAGAGATTTTACCGACAATTAATAGACACATAAATTATCTAAATGATGTAAATTTAAATTTTATATCAATCATATAAAAGTGATACAAACTAATAGAAAATTGAATCAATTTTATTTAATTGATGTCAAATTAATTAATTATAACATCAGCTAATATAATTGATGCTTAGTCATGTATATTAGCTTCATTTATAAATAAGCAATTTAAAATAACATCACTTAACTTTATGATACAATTTAAGTGATACAATATACTCTTTTTTTGTAGTGAGTGGTTAGGGTTTAGATTTTACAATTAAAACAAAATTATATATTGGTTGGGGTTTATAAAATAGTAGTTATATGTATACATATTTTGTTTCCATAGTTTGTTTTGTTTTTATGATTTTATTTTTATTTATTTTTAAATATTGTATGACATGGCATAATACTCTATTTTTATTAGTTAGAGTAATACAAAGTGAACAAGAAGGTTCACCATAGGGGTGAACCCAAGAATAGCTCATAGAAAATATTGGAGGAATATCTTATCCAACGGATTAGTTGCTTAGGAAATAATTAGTTTGAATTTTTGGAATTAAAATAAGAGAGACAAAAAAAGTAGAAAAATAAATGAGAGAAGAGGCGATTGAAAAATCGATTTATTTTTGTTTATTGTTTTTGGTAACCTTTCACGTTTCATCGGCAGTTACCGGCGATGTGGCTTCAGGTTGAACCACGAGTACGGCAGTTATCTCCACGTCGTTCCTCATGCCGCAACGTGATGCTACATCACCGGTTTATGAGATTCCATCTCTATATAAATCGCGATTCTGAAAGTGTTCTGTTCTAACAAAATTTCAAGCAATTGAATATGTGCTATTATTTCCAATTTGATTCTACAATGTTCTTGCCAAAATGGGTGAGAATCTCCGCCGAGCAGTTCATGATATCAATCTTTAGAGTATGCAGCATGTGCCTTACCCACTAATTCTCTAGGTCCACCACTTCATACCACAATTTGCTAAAAATATCTAATGTGATGATTTTGTACATAAAATCGTTGAGGGGCAGATGGTTTTCTATTATCTTCGTATATCTTAAAATTCATTGAGAATTATAAGATTGATATGTAAGGGAAACTTCAATACTACTTTTATGTATAAATTTGTGATTTTACCACTATGGTAAATTTTTTACTACTAGTATGCATACCACTTACCACTTATCTATGTATGTATATTACTACTAGATTAGGATCTATAAGATGTATGGGTTTTAAAATTTTAAAATAAAATAAAATTTAACAAAACGATGTACTAAAAAAAATTCTAAGTAAAACCTATCTTTAAGAAGTAAGTGAGATCATATTTCTTTCGAGAAATGTGTTGTATTTATATATTGTTGTTTTTACCTTAATATATGTTCTAAATATCTATATACTTTTTGTCCTTTAATTGTATTTTAAGATTTCTTATAATTTTTCTTCTTGTGAAAATACGATTGATAAAGATTTATATAATTCAAGATTAAATAAATAAAATAAACCGAAAAAGACCAAGGCAGTAATTGATTTCGATTATACAATACGAGTGGTCCATGTAGGTTCCGACAAGAGAGTCATAGTCACGCGTTGTGATACCGCGCGTGAAGAAACGACGACTGATCCATCCCTTTGTTAAGACAGCCACCACCTCCTCTGTTTGTTGTTCGACGAGGAAACTGTTTTTACAGACAAGGCGAAAAATATCATCACCGTCAAATTAAAGAAAAAGGCTACCCGGCCATGCTTATTTTAATATGATCATGTGAGTTAGTAACTTTGAAACCAAACTTTATATAATTAAGATATATATATATATATATATATATATATATATATATAGTTAAGGATGTGGAGTTTAATTATAATATAAAATTTGATATTAAAATATTCAATTTCTCTCATAAAAAAAATATATAAAATCAAATAGAACCTAAGATTAGAGCCATTTCTAGTGTATTAAATTTGTGTAAAAATATCTAAAAAGACATTTATATTGTATTGGATCCAAAACAGTATTTTTTTTTATATTTGCGAGAGATGGTTTATAATAGAAAATAATAAATTTTCACTTGCATCTACTATAACATTTTTGCAGCACTATTTGAAAAAACTCTTGGACTTTCAAACTATTTACAATAACATGCCACTGGAGTTAATTATCTTTCTCTATTAATTAAAAAAAAAACAAATATAAACAATATTGAATAGAAAAAGGAAAATTGAAAAAATTATCCACTAATCTCATTCTCCTTAAATCTCTCAAAAGTCTACACAAATGAATATCTCATTAAATACATAAATAGGTTAATTTTGGTGTTCCAAATTTAGAAGCGTAATGATTTTTTTTTGTTTTCAGTTTTGAAAGCTTTCTAAAGTAAACAATCTTGCAAATCTGTTATAATTTATTATACAACTGTGTCCGAATGTCAAATAGTCATAACCGAAGTACATTTTAACATATTTCTTTAAGATAATAATTTTTCATTAGGTTTAACGGTATATTTTAAGTTAACCCGTAAAAGATTTTAAATATAGATAACCCGTAAGAAAAATATAATCATATATATGTAAACTCAAATCCGTTTAAATTTTTCTTAAATAAAGAACCGGATTAATTTTTCTGCATGGGAGAATATTAATCCTATTTATGATGGTTTTGAAGTATTATGAAAAATTTAACCTTATGTAGATGTTGTACATACATTTTTTCCTTAGTCGATTCAGTAATATATGTCCGTTCTCAAAAAAATTAATTAAAATATATGCGGAAAATTGTATTTTTATAATACATATGTTTTATGTAATAATATAAATTTTAAAAATAAGATTAAATAAATTATTGGAGAGAGATTCGATTTATTAGAGAAAGATTTTAGGAAATTTTTTGGATGTTATAAATATTTGTTTCTAATATTTCTGTTTGCTTGTGATTTAATTACAAAATTTACTTCTAATTTTTTATTGATTTATTCAAATGGCAAGAGTTTAATTATGCAAATATTAAGAAAAAAATAATAGGTTATAACCAATGTTCAAGAAATCGCTAGGCGGTAGCTAGGCGTTCAACCTGGGTCTAGCTTTTAGAGGGAATAATCGGGGACTAGGCGAGGCCTAGGCGTTAATGTATTTTTATACTATAATTTTAAATATTTATTAGTTTTAGAAGTAATAACAAATTTAGAAATTTTAAACGTTGAATGCATTCCTTTAACTAGTCTTAAATTAGATTATTTGATGTAACACTTCATCTTTTAATTCTAGAAGTAGTAGAACATGTTTCATAGAAAGAAAAAGCAACCCAAATTCCAAATTCAAGATAGAGTCTAACATAGAACTAAAAGCATACATAAAACTAAAAATATACTAAACTACGATGCATTTGTTTGTTTCTCTATCTAATTTTTAGTGCAAAAATAAAAACAGAGACTTGTAAACAAAAAGAAAAAGAGGACGAAGACTTAGATCAATAAAATGGGGTGCACGAACCGTCACAAACGAAACAACCAAAGATGATGATGATGTGTGAGTTTCTAAAGAAACCAGAAACGTGAGAGAGATCAATATTTATAAGAGATTTGATCACTTAACCCTAACTCCTTAGCCCACGTTTCTCCCGTTCCCCAAAAAAACTAAAAAATCATTGAAAAATATAAACCAAACTAAACTATATTAAACCGGACAAATTAAACGATTTGGCCGATTTGCGCCAATATGAACCGCCTGAACCGGGACTCCGATTAGTTTCTCCGATATGGCACAATTTGCAGCGTTCAATCATCAGTAGGCTAGACCGATTTCTTGAACATTGGTTATAACCCATAATAGATTTTAGTTCGAAATGTACTCCAAAAATGTTAAGATAGAATTATTCAATTTTTATAATTAATTTAATTTGTATATATTAAAATTATTCATATTATAATTAACCATTTGAACAAAACTCTTAACATTTTACATTTTGGAATTGAAATGGGTAGAGTGAAGATGTACTTTGATGGATGCGGGCCTTAGTGTCTCTTAACGGGCTACTTAATGGGCTAACATGAATGAAAAAGATAAAACGAATTTGATCGTTTCTCCCTAATTAATAATGCTTAACAAAAAAAAAATCGAGTATACGTGACATAGTCACTCTCTACCTAACTGTCCTCTTCTCCATCAGCCAATCTCTCCAATTACTGTAAAGATAATGTTGATTCATCAACAAATCAGAGCAAGGGCACGGCGATGGTGAATTCGTACATACCTCTTCGTTTCACCATTTTCATCTCCTTCTCCATCGCAGCAGCTTCTTCCTTCAAACTCAACTCCGCTTCTTATTCTTCTCCGTCGTCGTTGCCAAAAGCCACCGCCGGCGATCTTCTCTCCGTTCTCGGACCATCCTATGACTCGTCGTCCCTTAACCCAGCCGTATCTCGAGAAATTAAATCGTGTCTTAGATTCCTCGTTCCTTTTAAACCGGATAAATCTATACCCGAGTTTGGAAGGTGTTCGCTTCGTACTGGACTTTGTTCAGGTAAAATTGAGAAGCGGAGTAAGTTTGAAGAGGAGAATTCTCTTATCTGGTGGCCACCGGAGCCGATTCTGGAGCTTGCTCGTCTCGCTGTTGATTCCGGTGGTGATCCCGGTTCAATTCAGCGAACTCTCGATCCCACAATGATCCCGGTTTGTTTCCGGTTTGACGTTTTTTGTTGTTCGTTAAATTGTGGATGTTGTTGAATTGAATCGGTTAAACTCGGTTTATGTGTTGTAAGGTTCCTGATGTTGAACGATCAAGAAAAGATAAATGTGAGCTCACAAGAACTCCTTATGGTCGTCATTTTATAGCAGAGGTAAATAAGCTGTATTTGAATCACTATTGGTGTTTTGATCTCATGGTGTTCTTATCTGATTGATGATGCTAATGAACAGGAAGTGAATTCATATTTTGAGTTCTTGTTTCATCTAATTGAATCTAGGGGACCTAGTGTTGGATTGAATGTGTCATTGACTCGATATGATTTGTTCCATGGTCACTTGTTTCTTGCCTCAGAATCTGGACGCCTTGGAATACTGTAAGTCTCCGTTGTATTCTTAATATACATTACATACTTAAAATAGTAACAAGGAAGGATCGTGTTTGGTTTCCGATCTCAGTGTGAATCCGTGTAAGAATCGAGACCCTTTGATAGGAACTAGAATAGTAGAAATAAGGAAGATGGGAAACAAGTTAAGGAGGTCTGTACGACTGTACCATTTGGTTAATTGGTGCCCTTTAGCATTTGAGAGTGAAGAGACCTCTAGGGTTTGATCTTGTGTTTTTGAAGATAACCAGCAATTCATGATCAATAAAGAAGGAATGGTTTCTGATTCTTATCACACTTGTTGTAATATTACTAGAAGTTGAACATAAGCAATGATCTTTGGAAGAATTTTTATGAAATAGTCACAAGGTTGAACTAGATTTTGAATAGTGTTGTTGATCAGAATCTTTTGCTGATGGTAGGTTTCATGCTAAAGAGTATCCAGCTTATGACAAGAAAGTGTTTCCTTACAACATGGGATATTGCCAGAGAGGTAAGATGTGTTCTGCCCATGTGACTGTGAATTTTCTTGCACTTTCTTGGAATACAGATATGCTCACATAAATCCCATAAATCTTCAGTTTTATGATTGTAGCTCCTTTTGTGTTAGGATCTGATGTGACATACGATGATTCAATGAACTTGAGGAATATCCTCTGGCTTGCACCATTACCCAGCAACTCCAGTCCAGGTTGGCTTGCACCAGGTATAATTTCTCTTTTCATCTCTGAGAGTAATGAAAAGATTCAATATTTCCTAAAGATCTGAACACTTTGCCTTTCATGACTTAAATCTAACATTCCTTTTGATGCGATACAGTGGAGAAGTTTGTCTTGTGTTATGTTATGTTCATTTGAACCGAGAGAAGCAATTGTAATGTTTGTTTAATTGATCCACAGGTGTACTTGTTGTACTTGACGCCCACCCAGATGGAATCATATACCGGGATCTCATCCCTGAGTATGTTCAGTTTGTAAGAACACTATACGAAGGTTTGAACAACTTTAATCCTTGTCTCATCCTCTATTTGCTTCATTGTATATCACATTTGATTGCATATACACTCAAAATCTCTTCGAATGAAAAATTTCCGTCTTATCCTTCTCCATCAGATGATTTTGGACCAACGGCGGTTGATGTCAATTACTTGAATGTCGGAACTCAGGAACCTGACTATCAACTTTTCATGTGCTGAAGCCAGTTGTCTGATTGAGACTTTGATTAATAAGATAAGTTACTGGAGATGGTTAAGGTTCAAGTACGTTGCTAATTAGACAGGTGTGAAGTATTGTGCGGGTTGCAAATAGCTTTAACAATGTATTAGGTAATTGTATCAAAGTGACGTTGGTGATGTACACTAATTACATCAACAAACATATTAAACATTAGGTATTTTCTTCACAGTCCACATAACCATTTCAAACGGTACAAAAATATATATTTAAAGACTTGATGTAGACAAAAATAAATCAAAAAGCTCCGATGCCGGGAATCGAACCCGGGTCTCCTGGGTGAAAGCCAGATATCCTAACCGCTGGACGACATCGGATTTATTGATTAGATTGATGTTTTAATATATATGAATATTAATCAACGGGAAAATACGAAATATTTGTAAAGTTAAGGGGCTGGAGTGCAAACCACATAAAGTTTTACATTGACCTAAAAGAAACTGCGATTCATTAGAAATCCCTTTCACTGTCAAAGAAGTCGACGAAAGCAAACAGATTTCGAAGTTTCATCGCCTCCCTAATCTTCGATCTCTCTCTTTCTTCTTCCAATCGTTTTTTATCTTGTCGTAGAAGAGGAATCCGATCTTCTGAGTATAGCAAGGTTTCTCTCCTTTTGTTTCAGATTACATAAGTAGCCAAGTTAGGGTTTTGTTCTGTTTACTTTAGTGGTTCTTCCGTATCTTATGGATTGTTCAATGTTATAATCTCAGGTTTTTATTTACGGATCTGTAAAGCTTCTAATCTAAAAAGATGGTAAGTTGCTTGATTGACTCAGGGTTTGCTTGTTCGTTATGTCTTGTTTTCGATGTTGTTTCAAATTCTGACTCTAGCTTTTCTTGTAATGTTGATTATAGCTTCCCCTTTCGCTTCTCAAAACTGCTCAAGGGCATCCTATGGTAAATGAAATTTCCTTCTTTCATTATTTATTATTTTCATTATATTATATGAAGCTGAGTTTAAGCGAGCACTGTAGACGTTGCGTCAAAGGGTTTATGTATTTTTTGGATTATGATAGTTGTGCATATAGGATAGGTGTATCTTTACTTAAAGTTTGCATCTTTTTTATGTTTGAAATGTTTTGCTAGCTTGTTGAGCTTAAGAATGGAGAGACCTACAATGGGCATTTGGTGAATTGTGATACGTGGATGAACATCCATCTCCGTGAAGTCATCTGTACTTCAAAGGTTTGTCTTTTTTACTTAACTATGTTGACACCAAATTTTCCATTTTGTTTATTACGTGATGAGATTTTGTGTGGTTTGTGACTCTTATATGTTGCTGCTTGATTACATTGTAGGACGGAGACAGGTTTTGGAGGATGCCCGAATGTTATATCCGTGGTAACACAATCAAGTATCTTCGAGTACCCGATGAGGTAATGTATCTTCTTGTATATACGCCTCTTGCTTGATCTAGTTTTCTTTCTTTCTTTTCAATTCCTCTTTTTTTCTGGAATGATGATGCTTAGCCAAATCAGATATGTGCTCCAAGAGGCATTTTGCTGTGGAACTCTGTTCAGCAGATAGGGTGTCTCTTGTTGTAGCGCGTCTTAGACGATATCACAGGGAATGGTTTTTGCTGACCAGAATGTTATTTGACTTTTGTGGACTTTGCTGTGTCGTTTTTCTGAAGCCAGTACCTACTAGCTCCATAACTATGATATAATATAGTTTCTAGCATTCATATTCACTTTATCTCAAAGTGTAAGCTATTTCTATATACGTTCGTACTGCTTCAACCTATAGATTGACTTGACTGACTTGTATTGATTTTTTCTCTCTTCAGGTGATTGATAAAGTACAGGAGGAGAAGACCCGTACAGGTATAGTATCTCTCATGTCTATGCTGTGCCTTTACTGAGATATTCTTCTTAGCCAGAGTTTTCTGAGTGGTATATTTAGCCAGAGTAGACATTGGGAATACTAACTGGAAAACTATACTATATATGCTTAAGCCTTATATAGTAGCCAAGACTTTTTGTTTAGATACAGTGGCAAGAGTTACGGATTTATTGAGGGGTTTCCAAACAGTAGCAAGCTGTTTTTAACAATTTTCAGTAATGGTTGTATATGTGCAGATAGAAAACCACCAGGCGTTGGACGCGGAAGAGGACGTGGTATGGAAGATGGAGGGGCCAGAGGCCGAGGCAGAGGAACTTCAATGGGAAAGATGGGTGGCAACAGGGGTAAAATACACAGCCAAAGCTGTCACAAAACTCTGTTTTTACTAGAATACTCCAAAATCTTTGTCTACCACAAATATATTAATGCTAAACTCTAATATGTGATGTTAAAACAGGAGCAGGCCGTGGGCGTGGTTGATGCATCTGCTTTCATGAATTTCGCTGTTTTTAGCTGGCACCAAGCTCTGCTAACTTCTCTTGCTGCTACTGCATTAGTTTGATTGTAGAGAAACCAAAATTATATAAGAAGTTGATCTTCTATTGGTCTTCGATTTACATATGTAATGGATAGGGAGGGAGTGTGATTTTGGATTCTCCTTTTGATCTTTTGGAAAAAATTTATTGTCTTTTGCCTTGTGAAATTTGACTGTTTATTATGAGGTCATCTGCGCTTCAATGGAATCTTTTTGGGCAATGGTGGTAAGTTTTGCTGAAGTTAAATAGTTGTCATGTGATAAAATTTTGGACTAAGGTGATACTTGTTCCACCAAACGAGTTATACACAAAGCTTCAAATAGTTGGATAGTTAATACATAAAACTAGTGTAACAATTATAAATCACTGCTCTGGTAATCAAAGAAAGTGAGGATATAGATACTAAACCTAGAGAGTAGTTTAGAAAGTAAATGATCATTGTTTAGAACACGAGAAATTGATAATCAAGTCGAGTCTGGCGTATAAGGTCAGGTTCGTAATGATAACTTTGAATTTGTGATTGAGAAATCAGGATTCTTAATGGATGAGAAGAAGTGTGTGCTGTCTAACAACACTAGTGCTTTCTGGTGATTCAAATCAGAAAGTTTCAGTTTATTCCGTTTAACTGACGTGAAAATTGGGAGATGATGAACTCTCCTTTACGTTTGATTAGTATTGCTGAAGGTTGATAAGATCTGCGACTCTCCTTAAATTATAAGTCCGAGATGATTTGACTAAATGAGAGTGTCTCCAAAACTTGTAAATAGAATCCCAAACAAAGAGCGAAAAAACGGATAATGAGTTTTGCAAACACTGGTGGATTTGGTCCATAAACAAAAAAACTAACATTCGAATATCAAACTATTCCTCTTCAACAATCTTGCTTTTCTCACTGACATAGATACCGTCAAGAAACTTCCTGATATCCTTCTTCTTAACGTGACATTTCTGCAAAAATCAAACAAGCCCATGTAAATTAAACTTATGTTTTCACTATGCAAATGTGTTATCAAACATCGACCAATACTCAAACATCAACCAAACAAAACACTTTCCAACACAATGCTCAAGCTTACTATCCAAAATTGGCTACTCTTACTAATCAGTTTCTAGTCAATCAATGTAAAACCAGCTAGAGACGGATGCTCAAGCTCAAGCTTACTATTCAAAGTTGGACACTCTTACTTATCATTTTCTGGTCAATCAATGCAAAACCAGCTATAGACGAATGCTCAAGCTCTTGTCATTTGGTGATCATATATAGACTACTCAATCAATGCATTTTCATTATGCAAGACTAAATACCAAATTCAATAATCAATCCAAAAAGAAGCATTTCGTCCCAAGAAAATGCAAACTTGGTTAAAGTCAGAGAGAGAGTACAGTACCTGGTTGATCAAAGCGCAAGACCTTGAGACAAGCTCGATATCATTACCATCAAGAACAATCTCATCCTTAACCTTCTCAGATCGAACAATGCTTACACCATCCAACATGTCTACCTTCCTCACCTAATCAAAACCCACATTTCAATCCAACTTCAGTGTTCCATCATTTTTAAACTAAACTTCAAATCAAACCAAGTAAACAACAACAGTGAAGACAAAAAGCAAAAATAAAATAAAAATCAAACCTTTTTCTCTCCAAGGAAGTTACGGATCTCAATAGACTTGCCATCAGCACCAATGGAAGCGTTAATGGGGAAATGAGCATACACAAACCTCATCTTGTATCTGAAACCTCTGGTGACACCGGAGATGAGGTTATCAACGTGGCTAAGAGCGGTTCTAATGGAAGCACTGGTTTTGCGTGATCCGAACCACGAATCGATCTTGAGCTTCTTCTTCCCAGTCTCTGGATCCTTAATCAGCTGGAAATCGAGGTTGAGATGCTTGAAATCGCGAACAAGCTTGCCTCTTGGTCCTTCGACTTCGATGACTTTAGCGTGAACCTTGATGGTTACGCTGTCGGGGATGTCCATCGTCTCCGAAGATAGAATCGTCTTCATTTTCGCTAACCTCTGTGACGACGACTCTTGCCTCTCTCTCTCTCTCTGTTTGAGCTGCTCAGGCGGAAGATGAAACCCTAATATATGGTTTTGTCGGCGACTTTTTAAAAACACAGAAACCCTAATAAAGATGCTACTGTGGGTTAGTTATCCAAGCCCAATACCAAGCCCAATAACAAGCCCAAGTCTAAGACAAAGCCCAAGCCTATTAAAAGTTTCTGATAAGTAATAAGCCCACGGCCTGGTAAGCAATTTGTGAGTGCTGCTTCTTCTTCTTCTTCTTCTTCTTCTTCTTCTTCTTCTTCTTCTTCTTCTTCTTCTTCTTCTTCCTTGTTTGCATTTTGAACTAGTGGTGTGTGTATATGTTTAGAAGCTCCATTTTTTAGTTTTGGGGTATGAATGCTAAGTTGAAAAGTTCCAATTTTGTGTAACTCTCGAAGTTAATGGCGGAAATCAAAGTGGAGAGGAGTCACGATCAACAACTCCTTGTACCTGAAGAAGATAATGTTTCATCAACTCGGAGGAGCCTCGCCGGAAACAGACAAAGACTTGTTTCTCTCGACATCTTCCGTGGCCTCACCGTCGCCGTACGTTTCTTTCTTCTTTCTTACTTGTGTTAGTTTTTGAACTTTAAGGTTTTTAATTTCTACTTTAAACAGTTGATGATTCTTGTTGATGATGCTGGAGGAGACTGGCCAGTGATTGCTCATGCTCCATGGGAAGGTTGTAATTTGGCTGATTTCGTTATGCCTTTCTTTTTGTTCATCGTTGGTGTCTCCATTGCTCTTTCCTTAAAGGTCAGTTTTTTTTTTAGAACTTAGAAAGCTTTTAGAACTTAGAATTCTGATGCTTGTTGCTTCGAAATTGGATAACAAAATTTTGCATGTTCTCAATATTATCAGAGGATTTCGAATAAATTTGAAGCTTGTAAGAAGGTTGGTTTTAGGACTTGTAAGCTTCTCTTCTGGGGTCTTATATTGCAAGGTAATTTACCTGTTGTGGAACCTTGTAGCCTCTTTTGCTTTAACAATTATGTATTTGGACAGTTCATTTTCTTATTGCTGTGAAGGTGGATTCTCTCATGCTCCTGATGAATTAAGCTATGGTGTTGATGTGACTAAGTTGAGGTTTTGTGGGATTCTTCAGGTGTTTGATAGGCTCATGATTCATTTTGTGTATTTATGTATTGTAACTGAGAAGGTTCACGTTTGTCTTATTTCTGTTATTGTGTAGAGAATAGCTTTATCCTACTTGGTAGTAGCATTGGTTGAAATCTTCACAAAGGACTCACATGAGGAGAATCTGTTAACTGGGAGGTTCTCAATATTCAAGTCATATTATTGGCATTGGTAAAAACATGACATTTTAGCTATTCAAAATGAAAAATTCATGAAAATCTGATCGAGAGTTTTGGATTAATCTTGTTTTTAGTATATTTACAGGATTGTGGGTGCATCAGTTCTTGTGATTTATCTTGCCACACTCTATGGAACTTACGTTCCTGACTGGGAATTTGTTGTCAATGATAAAGATAGCGTTCTCTATGGGAAAATCCAATCTGTAAGTCTTTAGGTGTTTGTACTTTATGTGGTCAGATGATATAAGAAATTCTTGGAATCCTTCCTAGGTACCATGTGGTGTGAGAGGAAAGCTAAACCCTCCCTGCAATGCTGTTGGATATGTTGACAGACAAGTTTTAGGGATTCATCATATGTACCACCATCCTGCTTGGAAACGATCCAAGGTATAATACATAATTTCCCATTTTGCTTGTCTCTAGTCTTAGCAAGCTAGTAATTTGAGACTGTGATTGTTTTATGTCAATCCTTTTGAGTTTTATGTCATAGAAGATAATATGAAGGGTTCATAGATTAGTGATATAGGTTTCATGTCAATCGACTCGATCCAAATGTTTTCTTTTGAGTTTCTAGGCTTGCACCAATGATTCTCCTTATGACGGATCTTTACGCCAAGATGCACCGTCATGGTGCCTTGCTCCGTTTGAGCCTGAAGGAATCTTAAGGTCTAATCCTGTCACGCTAGTCACTAACTGAGCATTATCATCATCTTCAGAAGCTTATAACACTCAGAAACTTGTCTGATGCAGCTCCATATCTGCTATTATTTCCACAATCATCGGAGTCCACTTTGGACATATTGTATTACACTTGAAGGTCAACTTACTGAACTGAATCATAAGTCTCATACTCTCCTCTCAAAACCGTCTTGTCTTTTCAGTATTATCATTTCAAACATTACCAAAATTTTCAGGGGCATTCAGCTCGGTTAAAACATTGGATCTCCACTGGTCTTGTTCTCCTCACTCTCGGGCTTACTCTGCATTTCACCCACTGTGAGAAAAACCTTGCATTTTGATCCAACTCAAAATAGTCTCTTCTCTTAACATATGACAAACTCAAACATGTTTTACAGTGATGCCTTTGAACAAACAACTCTACAGTTTTAGCTACATATGCGTGACCTCTGGTGCAGCCGCACTCGTCTTCTCTTCCTTGTATTCTCTGGTAATTTTTGCCCCACCACATTGACTAGAAGGAAAACTATGTCAAAAACAGAATTATTGTTTTGTTATGGTTTTTTACAGGTCGATATATTGGGGTGGAAACACATGTTTCTGCCTCTAAAATGGATAGGCATGAACGCAATGCTGGTCTACGTGATGGGAGCTGAAGGCATTTTGGCTGGTTTCTTCAATGGTTGGTACTATCGCCACCCGCAGAATACACTGGTACATATCAGTTACTTCCTGTCAAATTTGTTAACACTCCAATTGAAGTATACTAAACAGTTACCTGTGATTTAGATAAATTGGATTCGGGAGCACGTCTTTATCCGAGTTTGGCATTCAAGAAGAGTTGGTGTGCTTATGTATGTCATTTTCGCGGAGATTCTCTTCTGGGGTTTGGTCACTGGTGTCTTCCACAGATTCAAGATCTATTGGAAACTCTAAGTAGACGGTGAAAATCAAAATACTGTACCCAAGTCCTCTATACTGATGTTGTAATGTAGTTAGCATATATATAGTTCAAATCCAGGATAAGTTATGTAATCAAATTCATCATAAGTTTTGGTTTAAATGAAAATCATAAATATCCAAATGAAAAGACTCTAAAACAAAGAGAGGGTTCGGTTCTTTAAACCTGACGTGGTAAGTTGTAAGCGAAGAAAGAGCTTAAGACATTCTTACAAAAAAAAAAGCTTCTGAGTAGAGAGAGGAAGAAGAAGACGATACAGTTCTTTCCCGCCACTTTCATTGTCTTCCTCGAAAACCCTCCGGTGGTGAAGCAAAGATGTTGTGGGTCGACAAGTACAGGCCGAAGTCACTAGACAAGGTCATCGTTCATGAAGATATCGCCCAAAATCTGAAGAAACTGGTACGCTCCTTTTTATTCAAACCCTAGGAGATTTGGGGATTTTGGAATGATTTGGGATCTGAGTTTTTCGATTCCTCTCTTAGGTTACAGAGCAGGATTGTCCGCATTTGCTCTTTTATGGTCCGTCAGGTTCGGGTAAGAAAACCCTAATCATGGCTCTTCTCAAGCAGATATATGGTGCCAGTGCAGAGAAGGTATCCTAAAATCCTTCTCATTATACTAAAAGATGAAGACTTTGGACTCTAAATGCTGCTCTACAAAGAAAATTGTTTGTTTTTTTGCATGATGAGATGTGGTTTTTTGATTTGGGAAATTACTCTCAGTAGCACTGACTCGTCATCTTCTGATTGCTACTTTATTGTCATATGGAAACTGAAAAGTTGCTACTTGACTGCAGGTGAAAGTGGAGAACAGGGCGTGGAAAGTTGATGTGAGTTTTCTGTTTTCTTTGCTCTTAGTTCTAAAGTTCATCGCTGCTTTCCTTATTCGTCTTGTGCTCTTGTTGGATCAGTAACTCGTTGTGTTTCGGGTGGTATCAACCAACTTGTTAATGGAGAGAAGTAAATTGTGTTTGTTATTGATTTTTTTGGTGGCCCTTCTTGGCAGATTTAAACATGATAACATTGTGGTAATTGTCAATTCTGTTGTTTTAAATCTTTTGTTATGGTAATTTTAAACAATGCAGGCTGGGAGTAGAACTATTGATCTGGAGCTGACTACGTTATCAAGCACCAATCATGTGGAGCTTACTCCAAGTGATGCAGGATTTCAGGACCGATATATCGTTCAGGAGATAATTAAAGAAATGGCTAAGAACAGACCAATTGACACAAAGGGAAAGAAGGGATATAAGGGTAATAATTCCGCATGACTGTTTTTCTATACCACACTCGTTAATGGAGACATTTTTCATGTCAGGGCTCATAGTATTTTTTTTTTAAAGCATCTATGAAGAATGAGACTTTTATAAGGGCATTTTATGTCATCTTCAATCTCTATACTTCTACGGTTCACTTGGTATAAATTTTATGGTTCAAAAATATAGTTTATTTTTTTCTTTCATGGTCAATTCGATGGTATCCTCATATATCTAGTTTTAAGGTTTCTTGTTCAGCTGAGTGTCTTTTTTTTTTATAGATATATTTAGATGGTTCTATTTTCTTGATTATCAATTTATCTCTCGTCTCTTGATGAAGTTTTACCTCCATGATCTGCCAAATTTGCTCAAATTCTTTTCACATATTGATGTTGGATGGTGTCTAATATATGTGAAAACTGGAAAGTATTTGAGCATGCTCTATAATGCATGATTTTGTGTTTGTTTTGTTTTTGGTTTTGACAGTGTTGGTACTAAATGAGGTTGACAAGCTCTCACGAGAAGCTCAACATTCTCTGCGGAGAACAATGGAGAAATATAGCTCATCTTGCCGCCTCATCTTATGCTGTAACAGCTCTTCAAAGGTTACAGAAGCCATTAAGTCTCGTTGTCTTAATGTGCGCATAAATGCACCTTCGCAGGAAGAGGTACAGAAGCTGTTCCCTGTGTTTTTATAGAATATCCGTATAGATAATCCGCCAAGAAAATTTGTGGAATGTCGATAATGCATGAGGCTTTGTGTTCAACTCAGTGTTGAGACACCAAATCTTGTTTTGTGGCCTTTAGTGGGAAACTCATATCTAATTTCTCTTAAAAATAGCCCATCTTGAAATTTCATTTCTTAAGATCTACACAATATAGATAATAGGTTTTTACATATTCTTGCCATTTTTCTGTGTACTTCTCATTGGATTGGCAAGAAAACTAGTGAAAACCTGTTCTCGTGTATCTGCTTTTACCCTTAATGAGAAATCTCTTATGACTACGGATGTTAAAATATTACATCGATTCAGTTTCCTTCATTTGGCTTGTGTAAACTTTCTTCCACAAAAAAAATGGTATGCAAGATTATTGTTAACAAAAATGTAGCTCTATGTTACCAGATAGTGAAAGTATTGGAGTTTGTTGCAAAGAAAGAGAGTCTGCAATTGCCCCTGGGTTTTGCTGCTCGTATTGCTGAAAAATCAAATCGCAGTCTTAGAAGAGCTATTTTGTCACTTGAGACTTGTCGTGTCCAAAAGTAAGCATATCATATACTTGATCTCTAAGCACACAATTATTGAGTTTGATTTTTTGGTTCTTTCATGTTCTAGAAAATTAACTTTACATTACTTTAAACTTACTTCCCCTTCGCGTTTTTCTTGGTAGCTATCCGTTCACAAGTAACCAAGTGATATCTCCCATGGATTGGGAAGAGTATGTTGCTGAAATAGCAACTGACGTGATGAAGGAACAAAGCCCTAAAAGGTCAGACTCTAGTGGATCATTTAGTTTTACAATATATAACTTAAAAGATAATACTTTGAATTTCATAGTCTCTTGTATGCTTCTTCAGGTTATTTCTGGTGCGTGGAAAGGTGTATGAATTGCTAGTTAATTGCATTCCACCTGAAGTCATTCTAAAGGTCTTAAACATAACCTAATCCAGGTATATATTATGTATTTTGGGTCTGTTTTGCCTTTTGTTTACCCATAGTTTATGCATTCCCAGAAACTTCTTCATGAACTGCTGAAGAAACTGGACTCAGAGCTAAAGCTTGAAGTCTGCCACTGGGCTGCATATTATGTAAGTATATTTCTTACCTTGCAAATTATATTTGTTACATCTGTGTGCTCATTTGAGCATGAGCGCCTGTCCTGTTGGTTCGACGGCTTGCTTGATAAATGTCTTTGGCCCTTCTTACAGGAACATCGGATGCGATTAGGTCAGAAAGCCATATTTCACATTGAAGGTATATAAAACTCCTTAGTTATTGCATTTAGCTCATATAGACTACATAAAATAAAATCTTTCTTACATTTTTTTGGGTGCTATTATGGTGGGGTTGCAGCATTTGTGGCCAAGTTTATGAGCATATACAAAAACTTCCTCATTTCAACGTTTGGGTAGGAGAAGACAAGCTCCGAATCTGAGGAAAAGAGGACAGACTTGCACTTGTACTACTGTTTTTCTTAAGCGTGATCTGATGTTCTGAAGTTTAGTGGATCTTTTTAACTTCGATGTTTCAATTTATTTTCCTTAGACTAAACTGTTAATTCTAATAACTATGGAAGTGGTTGTGGTTTGCCTATCAATCAGTCGCAACAATAAGAAACCAGCCAGCCATATTATATGCTAACATGTTTTGAGAATTTAGCAGCTTAACACTCTACGTGTAGCAGCATGTTATAGTGCAATTGCGAGGTATATAAGTTTCATAATTTTTAGAATTCCATAACCCAGCCATATTATATGCTAACATGTTTTGAGAATTTAGCTTCTTGCATGAAAAATGAAATTAATCTCTGGACACTCGACCGGAGTTCGTTAATCAGATTGTTCTTGAGGATATCAGCCGAGTTGGAAGGGCTCGGCATGTTCGTTTATAAGTTTTGTTCTTTGATTTTAAGGGAGGCTAGCCTCCCTTTCCCCTACCAAAAATAAAATAAAATGAAAGTAATCTTGATAGACAAAAAAGACCTATTGTTTTGTTTGTCCCTTAGAGCAGAGCCATAAAATGGAGTTTTCCTAACTTAAGAACCACATAAAGTGAAAACCTACCTCATGACCATCTTATATGTACATTGCATATTTTATATGTGTCATGTATGTATAAACATATATTTAAGCATTTATTAAATAAGTACACCAAAGAGAAATAAAAAGATTAAAATCTTCTTGCGATTATAGACTTAATATAGATTGTAAGCAATCATTACACAAATAAAAGAACAAAACATGAAACAAAGTGAATATTAGTACCAACAAAATTAAAAATTATTGAATTATAGCATAAAGAACAAAAGGCATAGTGAGATCAGTTACAACTCAATAGCTTATTTAACAATCCGCATTTACCGTTTCAAGTAATGCAAATGTGGGGTTGAAGTTTAGTACTCAGTCTTTGGGGAAGGTGAGTACAATGGTGGGGGTGGAGAACTGTAAACATACGGTGGTGGGGGAGACTTGTAGTCTACCTTAGGGGATGGAGAGTAGTAAGGTGGTGGTGGGGAGCTGTAAACATATGGTGGAGGAGGAGACTTGTATACAACCTTGGGGGATGGGGAGTAGTATGGTGGTGGTGGGGAACTGTAAACATACGGTGGGGGAGGAGATTTGTACTCTACCTTAGGGGATGGGGAGTAGTATGGTGGTGGTGGGGAACTGTAAACATACGGTGGTGGAGGAGATTTGTAGTTTACCTTAGGGGATGGAGAGTAGTATGGTGGTGGTGGGGAGCTGTAAACATATGGTGGAGGAGGGGACTTGTATACAACCTTGGGAGATGGGGAATAGTATGGTGGTGGTGGGGAACTGTAAACATACGGTGGTGGAGGAGATTTGTAGTCTACCTTAGGGGATGGAGAGTAGTATGGTGGTGGTGGGGAGCTGTAGACATATGGTGGAGGAGGGGACTTGTATACAACTTTAGGAGATGGAGAATAGTACGGAGGTGGTGGGGAACTGTAAACATACGGTGGTGGAGGTGATTTGTAGTCTACTTTAGGAGATGGTGAATAGTATGGTGGTGGTGGAGAACTGTAAACATATGGTGGTGGAGGAGAT